AGGTACACACACACACACACACACACACACACACACACACACACACACACACACACACTGTTGTAATAAGTCAATGAGTGAAGAAGAGTAGAGCCCAGTCCAGGGTCAGGGTCAGGGTAAACTGCCTTTTCAGGCCTGATCATCATGTTCTGGAGACAGAACCGCCTGACCAGTTGACCCAAAAGAGAAAACAAGTTACACAGCCGTGCTGGGAGACTGACACTGCATTACCCTGGAATAAACATTCCACAACACACACACACACACACACACTGCACTCGGCCAGCACGCACGCTCATTTTCACCCTCTAATGTGTGTGTGTGTGTGTGTGTGTGTGTGTGTGTGTGTGTGTGTGTGCGTGCGTGCGCGCGCGCGCAGGAGTTTCCGCTGTGACTGTGGTAATGAGAAGTTCCCAGGCTTCAGCTGCAGGCTTCATGCGGTGAGTGTGACCGGCTCTACTACAGACACACACTAGTGTGTGTGTGTAACGGTGTGTGTGTGTGTAACGGTGTGTGTGTGTAACGGTGTGTGTGTGTGCGTGTGTGTTGCTGTTTTCAGAACAAAGATGGGAGAAACGTGAAGAACTCCTACAACCACAACTACTCCGGCCGCTACTGCTCCTGTGACCGGCCGTACCCCGACACAGACGACCAGGTGAGTGTGTGTGTGTGTGTGTGTGTGTGTGTGTGTGTGTGGTGTGTGAGAGAGCTTATGCTGTGTGTGTGTGTTTCCTCAGGTGAATGATGAGATGGTGCAGTGTGTGGTGTGTGAGGACTGGTTCCATGAGAAGGTGGGTTCAGCATCACTCTGCTCTGATTGGCTGATGGTGTCAGTGAGGTGTGATCTGATTGGCTGATGGTGTGGTCTGTTGTGTTTCAGCACCTGCAGGCTCCTCCTCTGTGCTGTGATTCGCTGACGGAGATGGTGTGTGTGGGCTGCATGAAGCGAGTGCCGTTCCTCTGGACGTATGCGGCTCATTTCTCAGGTGTGTGTGTGTGTGTGTGTGTGTGTGTGTGTGTGTGTGTGTGTGTGTGTGTGTGTGTGTGGCACAGTAAACTACACTGCAGATATATAGATCTCACACCCTACACACACACAGACACAGACACACACGCTGTTCCCACTGTAGATCAGTGTCAGGGCTGATTATTAGTGCTGTAGTGATTCCCCTGACTCCTGATTCGGTACACCACACTAATCTCACACTTTATGAATGATGTGAGACTAGTTGCAGGTGGAGATCTCCACCTTTTTGCTGCATGTTCACTAATAAGCCCAGTTCTGCAGTAACTGAATGGGAGAATTAAGACTGGATCCAGATGCACAGTGAGTAATGTGAACTGCAGCAGACTCGTGAGCTGACTCCAGCTGTGCTGTGCTGGGATTATAGATGGAGCATCAGCAGGTGTGTGTGTGTGTGTGTGTTCTGGCATGAGCTGAGCTCTCTGCACATCTACACTGTCCTCTGCTGATGAACTCTCTCTCTGAGGACCCTCGGTGTGGGCAGGAAAGCCTTGCCTAAAGCAGACGGGTGGTGAACAGGCCTGTGCTCCAGCAGCTGAACTCGGGCACACCGCACTGATCACACACATGAAGATGAGGAGAGAGAGCAGCTGAACATGGTCATCTACAGCGCGTGTGGAGAGTGCTGACGGCGCATGTGTTCATCACAGTCTCATTCCTGAATGATGAAATGGACTGATTTCCTGAACATTCTACACACAATCCCCCACAATGACCCCCATAGAGACTAAGAGGAAGGGAAATGAGTGAGTGAGTGAGTGGAGCATCTGTGTCTAACATGTCGTCTTCGTGTGTGTGTGTGTTCTAGTGTCTGCTGTGAACAGTGCAGTGTCCTCCAGGGAAACAACTGCAGCGAGTGTGTGCTGTCAGCAGGAGGCAGCGGCGGCGGTGAGACCTGTGTGTGTGTGTGTGTGTGTGTGTGTGTGTGTGAGTGTGTGTGTGTGTGTGTGAGTGTGAGTAAGTGTGTGTGCGTGCGTGCATGCGTGTGTGTGTGAGAGAGAGACACTCAATAGTGCAAGCATGAAGTCTGTCCAGCATGCAGGCAGTGTGTTCATGTGTGTGTGTTCATCAGTCTGCAGATGCAGGAGTGTGTGCTGCCTCTCCGCTGTGCTCTGGATCTGGTGTGTGTGTGTTCACTAAGCTGAAGGACACAGAAACACACACTGATCAGCACGGCTCCGTCTTCTGGCCCTACGACTGGAGGAGCAAACTCTGCACCTGCACCGACTGCAAGGTAACACACACACTCACTCACACACACACACACACACACACACACACACTCACACACACACACAGAAACTCACTCACTCACACACACCTCCACCCTCACAGTACTGTAGACATCAGAGTGTACGTTTCACCAGCTGATACAGTATGACTGATTGTGTGTGTGTGTGTGTGTGTGTGTGTGTGTGTGTTCTCAGCGGATGTATGTGGCGTCAGGTGTTCAGTTCCTGCTGGACGAGTCGGACACTGTGCTGGCGTATGAAGACAGAGCCAAGACTGAAGCGCTGAGGAGTGGAGGAGGAGTGCTGTCCTGTCTGAACACACTCACACACCAGCAGCAGCTCGACACACTCTACAGTAAGTGTGTGTGTGCATGTAATACTGTCGTGTCTGGGCATACAGTACACAATCTACAGTAACAGTGCACTTAAACTATCAGAACTGTGCCCAGGCCTGTCTCCATCGTGTGTGTGTGTGTGTGTGTGTGTGTGTGTGTGTTCCTTCTGCAGGGCTGAATGAAATGAAGCAGGAGCTGTGCGAGTTTCTCCAGCAGTGCTCCGAGCAGAGTCAGGTAAGCAGAAAGTGTGTGTGTGTGTGTGTGTGTGTGTGTGTGTGTGTGTGTGTGTGTGTGTGTGTGTGTGTGTGTGTGTGTCATCTCTCAGATCCACATCACTGAATGTCATTTGTTCAACCTTGAGGAGCAGTGTTTGAGTCCTTGGCCCTTCTAAAGAGGCTGGGGTTTGTTTGTTCTAGCCTTGATTGATTTATCGGTTACACACCAGGCCATCTGTCTCCATATGAAAACATCAGCATGTCTGCGTTCTGTGTTATCATTATCATGCTTCATAATGTCTGTCCATTCATCTCAGCTCAGCTCAGCTCTTCCATGTCACTTCACTGGAGGAGCCTGAACTACATGATTTAACAGCTGTATGGGCAGAAGGCAGACTGAGACCAACACATTGGCAAATGCCTCTGACATGTTTACACACAATTTATGTTACTGTAGCGTTAAAAAAATGATTACTTGCACAACTATAAAGGCCATAGGGTAAATAAAAAAATAATAAAAAAAGTAAAAGTAATTTGTAAAAATGTTTTTTAATGTGTTTTTAGTTAATGTTTTGTGTGTGTGTGTGTGAGTGTGTGTGCGTGTGTATTTGTTTGTGTGTG